AGGGCGGGGGGGGGCAATAGAAGCGCGGTTCCTACAGGAGGTTAGCTCAGCACGCGCGGCCAAGCGTAACAGTACTGGTGTGCGCGCTACCGCAATACCATGGTATGTGCATACATGCACCCATGCCCAGGCGAAGGCGAAGCACCGCAGGAGGGGTGGGTAGGGGCCTCAGAGGGAGGAACCCTTCTGTGTGACCTCGGGTTAGGAGTAAACGGCACGACTGTTCAATAACGGCTGTGAGTGCAGTTTTGAAGTGAAGACAAGAAAAAAAAAAAAAACATGCCCAGGAGATGGGGTCGAGGTAGCGGACCTGTCGCCATCAGCAAATGCAGCGATTTTCATGTAGGTGCGTCATGCATGCGTGCCGCATCAGATCCGTCGGATACAAGATTCCGACGAGTCTATACTACGGCGTATCTCGCTCAAGCGTGACAAAACAATATACACCCGTACGACAGAAAAAAAAAAAAGTATGAGAAAAAGGGCGAACGACATGGAGGGGGCAAGCTGAACCTGGCGTACAGCAGCAGAACGGCTGCACGAGCACTATTGTAGAGAAGACACCGCTAACAACGCCGTTCCCGTGCCAAATGACACACGACGTGGGCGGCGGGCATCACAGCAGTGCTTGGAGGTATATTGAGAGCACACACCACCGCACACAGCACCGACGCCGGCCCGACTCTTAAGTCGAAGGAAGCTAAAACCTCCGCCAGACACATCGTACAAGGTTTCCCTCCGGAGCGGGCTCAAGAGAGCACAGCAGTGTCATCAAGGGGGGTGACGAAAGAAAAATAAGCTTGAAAAATACCACCGCCAGCAACCGTGACGTTGTCCAAGCTCCAAAAAACAGCCCACACAGCGGTCACCTTTCGAATGCTTCTTTAGACTCCAAGAGCCCACCCAGCGAACCACGACCGAGCCAAAATAAAATAATAGAACCGCAGGTGGTGCTCCGCTATTGCCATGATGTCGTTGCTAGTTTATCCTAGTAGGCCATTACCTATCGGTGGAGATGGAATCGTTGTCTTAGATTTAGAACAAAAAAACAAAATCTGCAACCATAAACCTAAACCTAACCTACAGCAGCAGTTGTGACCCCCCCCCCCCACGAGACGTGGGGTCTCCAGCCTCACCACGAGGTCCGCTCTCCTGTGCAAGGACAAAAAACAACCTAAACCTACAGGAGCAGCAGGCTTAACACACACACAAAACACCCCCCCGTCTCTTCATTGGTCGGTGTTAGCGTGGTCGATGCCAACAATAAAATAAAATAAACAAACACACACACACCCGAGACGTGTGGTCCGCAGCAGCCGCCTCACCATGTGGTCCGCCCTCCCGTGGAAGACGTGCACGGGCATGGACACGTCTCGGTAGTCGAACCCCAGCGGCTGGGTCTTCTCGAGGGCGGCAAGGGCGTCCATCGCCACCCCGCGGGTCTGCTCTCCCGCGCTCCCGACCGCCTTAAGCACCTAAATATGCGCAATAAAAAAAAAGTTCGATAACCCCGGGAGAAGCCAAGCGGGCGTTGGAGAGGAAATATTCTCGCAAAACCGGGGCCAACAACAACAACAACAGCGGAGTGGTATACAAAAATCCGTCGGCGCCAGGTAGTATACCAAATATCAGACGTGGAGAGATCGATTTCAACAGCAACACAACAGCGAAAAAAGAAGGACACTCGTCGACGTTCTTTGAACCGGTGAGGTACATGCGCACAGCGCTAGAGCGGGGTCGCTTGGGGAGAGACCACGTGGTGCAAAAGGGAAGATATTGTGGCGAGTGGCCAACACACGCGCCATAATCCCCTCCCTCCTCCACTTGAGCTGAACGAAAAAAGGGTGCTCTGAAGCGATATGCCAATTGGTGTCTCAAACTGACGCTGGTTGGAACATATTTTGTCTTGTCCTGTTGCACTGCGGCTATACCAAGAAACGGTAGACACCGTAGCAAGAACCTGGGAGACTGCCAGTAGACACGTCGCTACGGCAGCCGAAGGAGGTCGATCGGTAGCCCCTTCCCCATCAGGCCAAGGCCTCCCGCAGCCGCCAGCAGCCGAGGCATGGTGTTACAAGCCTCTGTCTGACACTCCCTTTCTCTGCCCAACGAGTGGCAACAATGCCGCGTTCGGCATCGACAACATACGCCTACCCCCGCCCCCCGAATTTCCTCACGACTACGGCATGCGTTTAAATGAGAGTACCCCCCCCCCTCCGGTACACACACGGGCCCCCCGTGACACCAGCAAGTGTACCAGCACCGCACCTCGGCCGTTGTCCGAGACCCGGCCATCGGGCTCTCCCCCTCGCTGCACCCCTTCACCATCAGGCCAAGGCCTCCCGCAGCCGCCAGCAGTCGAGGCATGGCGTTACCCATGGCCATCCCAGTCTTGATTACCCACCTGCTTCCCACGTGGTGTATGCATAGGTGTCGAGTGGCATCATCGCCCAGAGAAGACAGCACACAGGGGGATCGAGGCGGTAAAAACTTAAAAAAAAAATGACGGGCATTTCACACCTTGACCCGTGAACGTCTCGTGAAAAAAATGCGTCGGATGTGGCTTGCTACTTTTGTTAGGAGGCATTCGAACCAGCGGGGTATCGCCACTCTCTCCGCGCTTTCGGGTAACACCTCGACATGCATTCTCCCCTTGGGACTTGCGGACGACAACACCAGGAGGTGAATCGCGCTTCTGGTTGTCGAGACGCGAAATCGTACATCTACAGATGTATCTGCATGCACGACGACACCCCCCATGGCACTGATCGACCCCATGCAGCATATCGTACGTCACACGGACTGACAACACTCCGGCTCGAACGGTGGACCATCCATTCCCCCCCCCTCTTGCTTCGAACGGCGCACAGCAGCAGCACATGAGCAACACGAATACCACTACTTGGGCGAGAACACGCACCATCACTTCCACAACCCCTTGGCAAGAACACCACCACCGCCGCTGCTTGACGAGAACACCACCATCACTACCATCACCGTACCACCTCTACCTGGCAAAAACACCACCATCACCACCCACAAAGACAACCCCGGCGTCTTTGGACCGCCCTTGACTCACTCTGGCAACTTTTCCACCTTGGCGAGAGCCCGGCTGGATCCAGGGACGGATAGCGGCACCCAGGGGCTGATGAGGTAGACGGTTGTCGCCACCTTGTCAGGCATTTCCTGGAGACGACGGCAGTCACGTTGCGACATAAAGAGGTAAAAATGTTGAGGATGGGAGGGCATGGCGACGCCTCGATAAGATACCAACCATTTCGGCCGCTGAGGAGCCAAGAATAGCTTTGACGCGAGGAGCCACGTTTAGCGTTTGGACGCGAGGAGCCAAGCCTAGCTCTGACGTGAGGAGCCAAGCTCAGCTTCAACCTGAGGATCCAAGCTTAGTAATGACGTGCCAACCGTCGGCGTCACTACTACAGTACTGCAAAAATCAAACGTGCTCCTACAAGATTCGGCACTAGAGAGATGGTGGCAGCAAGGTCTCGAATATAATTTCTGCGCCCAACCCGCAGCAGTCATCAACCTTGACCGGATCGTTGACGCTCCGCCGCACGCGGCGGAGGTTGACCACATCTTGCTTGTCCCTTGTGGGGGTAGCAACAACGAAGTCTCCCACCACCCGGTTTGCAAGCACGCCATCAGTACGCACAAAACCAGACAACCCGTATTGTTCGGATGGACACGGTCCTACACACTCGCGCAAAAGACAGATCTGCCCGTCAAAACAGAGGACCTTCCTCCGTCAACTACTCCCTACTACTGTTGTTCGGATGGACGTTCTTTCAACACACTAGTACAAGACAGAGCTGCCCAGGACCTGTCTCCAAGCTCAAAGAGCGAACCCTGACCTCAATCTGCGCACCCACACAAAGCTCAATACCGTAGGGTGTACGTAAGATATCACACCCCCTGGACGGAATTTCAAAGCTCGATTGCTCCACAGCAGAAGGAACGAAGGTGCCGGAAATGGCGGCTTTGGGACAGTCTCGTCGAGAGCTTTCCGAAAACGTATCATTTGATTTCGGCGTCGTCTTCGTCGTGGAACAACGGAGGCTTGGAATTAGGTACAGGGGGTGTGGTATATTACGCAACATACGGTACACAACACAGGAGAGAGAGAGAGATCAGCCCATAAAAGGAGGAGCAGCAGGAGCCCAGCGCCAGCTACAATAACACCAGCTTCCCCCGCTAAACAAATAGCGCCTCGGCAACTCCAGCAGCATGCCCACACACCTGTGCACAGCGCAACGCGTAGCTCGCACCGAGAGACTGCCCCACTAACGAGAAGCACTTGATCCCCGCCTCTACGCAGAAGTGCCTCAAAACCTCCGGAAAGTCGAGGATGCGATTTGCCCTGCGGGTGTGAGACCGTGCGTGCAGGTTTTCGTAGGCGGTTATCCACGCGATTTTCTCATGGCCCTCATGCGTGCCAGGTTTTCAGGGAATACAAGGGCAGACCAGTGGGCACACGCTTCCCTACACCTATTTCTAGACGACCCTCATGCATGCTAGGCTCGAGGGAATTCGGGTCGGCGAATGGACACACGCTTGGCCAAACCTATTGCTAGATGACCCTCATGCATGCCACGTTCGAGGGAACACAAGGGTGGGAAAAACGAAAGATCACTTTGGCTACACCTGATGCCGTCCACGACATTAACCACCTCGAAACGTACGTGGTGTACGCAAGAGTGACAAAAAGGCGATGTGTGCTTACACGAATGAAGGGAAACGCGTATAGAAACCAGCTGGGGGTCATTTCACAGAGCTCTTGGTCCCCGGATCCTCATTTAAGGCTCGAGGTTTCTTCAAGACAAGGCAGGCAAACATCGCCATGCGCTTGCTACTCGAACCGACCGCGGTACATATAGTCCGTGCACAACAGAAAATCCAAAAATTTCCCGGCACAAATGACAACTTTTCTCTGCACACAGGTGGTGTTCCGACATCTGAAAGTACCGGCAAACGCCCTGTTTCCAGGCGCATGGAGTGACGTTTTTTTTTTTTTCTTGACTTTTTATCGGCACAAAACCGGGAAAACTTGAATTCTTTTTCCAGGGGTGTGTTCTTTGCCGATTTACAAAAACTCTACGGATTTGAACGCGTCTCGCAATATGCAAGGTCGTTTTTTTTTTTTCTCGAATTTTTGTGAATGGACGGAGATATCGCTCAAAAATCGACTGTAGAGCATCAGTTTGAATTCTTTTTTGGGTGATAACTAACCGACCGATTTCAAAATAAACAGCGGCAATCGATTCCTCTCCTCAAGTACTAGGTCTATATTGCTGGGTTTTGTTGGGAAAAATCTGGTTTCCGAGATATTCCACATTTTGTTGTGCCGTCCCCATGGGAGTTTTTTTTTTGGATGGGGCAACACGCACGCACACACAACACGCACACGTTGCGGCCCAAAACACGAAACACGCACGCAAGCACCATGGGGAAGCCTAGGGGACGGCCTAAGAAGAAGAAGTTCCGCAGCCGCGGAGCCGATGGTCGGGCGATTTCGAAGAAGCCGAAGCCGGCATTGCAACATTATCTTCCATCTCCCGGCGCTGATGATGCACTCTCGGATGGCCACGACGGCGCATTTTTGATGGACGTGGCCGAGAACGCTGCGTCGTGATGTGCGTGTTTTTTAAGTTCGTGGTAGCTTTGCCGGATTGTTGGGCGCCTTGTGCATGTTTCCGTTTCTTTCATGTTGGCCTTCTACTTTTTTTCAGCACTCACTCCCTTACGATTGACTGCCCTCGAGTGTTTGTATAGGTTTATGTACATGTATAGACCCGTCAATGTTCATCTGTTGTGCCTTTTAACGTCCAACGGTGTTGTCGATCATGCGTCTGCGTGGTATCTGTACAAATGCTAGCATGTGGTGTCCGTAATGTAGAGGGTGAGGGGGGGCTTCGGGGGTACGGTCGGGGGTTCCGTGAATGCAGAGGGGATGTATGTCGTGTTCAGGGGGTTCCGTGTATGATTTGTGTCAAAATTGTTGCATATCGTCAGAACAAAAAAAAACTCTGCAGCTATCGACGTATCTCGACGAGGCGGTCACGACCATCGTTGTTTCACGTTCCAATTCTTAAAAAAAAAAAAGTAATCGCACAAAACGTGAATGCACAAATTGTTGTGCACGGACCGTAGACAAGATGTCTTGCCTTGCCGCTGCTTTCCTTCAGGCGTTGGCACGATTCAACCTACAGTACCTGGATATCGGACGTGACGTAAGATATCACATCCCTTGGACCGACTTCCAGAGCTCGAATTCTCCACACAGCAGAAAGAGTGGCAGTGTCGAAAACGTCGGCGGTGGGGTCGTCTCGTCGACAACTTCCCGAAAACCGTCCGATTGATTTACGCATCATGTTCATCGTGGAGTAACCGAGCCTTTGTCCAGGGGGGGGGGGTGCTATCTTGTGTCACCTACGGTACTTTCTCCATGTGTTATTTGGCGCTCACTTTTCGTCCTCGAAGTCGCTCGTTCTTCCCCTCCCCGGCCGGTCAAGGCAGAGCAGCCGGACCCCCCTGGCCCTGGCAGGCTTGTCCAGCAGGAACGACATGTAACGGTGAGAGTCCACCCCCAGGATGAAGAACGCAACGAAGCCCTTGGGGTCGCCAACCTCGGCGTAGCTGACGACCCGCGGCTGGCGCAGGCACGGGCACTCCGGCAGCGACAGCGTGCGGTTCATCCGCTCCTCCGCTAGCCCTCTCGCCACCGCCTCCCCCTCGCTCAAGGCTTCTTGTTCGTCCCTGTCGACCCCTACATCTCTGTCCCCGTCGTCCTTAGTGCCTCTTCGTTTCGTCGCCTGCGGCGGCGGGTTTCCTAGCGGGCTAGCAGGCATTCCTCGCGAAAGTGGTGTGCGGTGATGCCACGCGCGCACGGCGTGCCGTCTCGAGGAGTAGAGGGCTGGTGTTGCCGAAGTTCGCCTGTCGGCACGGTAGCACGAGGTGCAGGCGTGAGAAATCGAGCGCAGGGCATAGATCGATTACCGACCTTAGCACAGCAGCATGGCCGACAGAAATGCTCACTGGTAAAATGATTGAGCGCTATTTCCAATATTGTAGATGAAGCCAGTTAAGAGGGGTTCGGCAACGTCGCTCTCCTATTTACCAGAATTGGTATTACTTCCTTTGCGGTTAAGCAGCGCCTAAGATTGCAAAGACCTTTCTATTCACCCGGCTGGATCGACGCCCATTGATAGTCGGCGTCTACACAGAGGCTGAACACGGTCTAGACCGCCGTAGGCACCGTGTCCGTCCGTAGATGCATTTACCATTCGAATATGAGGCCAAGTAAGTGGCCCTGCTACGTTCGGGCGCGGATGGTGTGTGTGCCGACGACCTCAACACTGCTACAACCTAGACGTTTTGAGAAAAGACGGCAGGCAAAAATACACAGACGCCCTTGATATCCGTAAGGCGTACAATAGACGAGAAAGAAAAAACTTCTGTCGTTGTTTTTGCTGCACAAGAAAAACTGTTGGCGTGAGGAGCGACGATGGTGCACAAGTTCAGCGAGGGGCGACGTTCGTATTGTATATTGACTCCACTCACTGAAAAGACTCCACCACATCCCGTTCGACTGTGGGTATACCTCGAATGAGTAGTCTTTCTGTGTGTGTGTGTGTGTTTTTTTTTTTCTTAATATGACACAACGAAACCATCTCTATCATAGAAAAGAGTCTGAGACAGATTAGCAATGGATTCATAGCGTCAGAAAGTACTTTTTTATTATTCCTTAATTGAAAAGATACAAAATAGTTGGGGCTACAGCAGTACCATTTGCGGAGAAACAAAATACGATTGCGGCCGACGGCAGGGGGTGGGGGGCAAGCAGCGGCATACTCAGCAGCTCCTATGCATATGCAAGAAAGATATGCACTTCATCATAGGAGGCTTCAGTATACATGTATGACGGGTCCAGTATATGCTGCTCCTCATCCGCGTTGAAGGTCTGGTCTGCTGCTGCTGCTGTGGATACATTGTCCGCAGGCGGCGCTCTGTGCAAGAAGAGCTAATATTTCCCGCGCGGAAAAAAAAACACAAAGACGCCTATCCTTCGGTGCTACCTTCGCCCCTGTCTAAAAAAAAAAATATGACGTATATGAGAGCAAGAAGTCGTCCGCCAGAGCATTGTACCTTTCGACAGGGCAAGGGCCATGCCATTCATCAAGCGAATAATGTACAATCTAGTCGTGGTTGTTCTTACGATACAACGGAAAGTACGAAAGGCACGAACAGCAACGAATGGCCGTGTATCTGACATCTCACCAACCGAAATTGCTGTGTTGGTAGCTGGGAAGGGAATTCACCTTGGCACCCAAGAATTCAGGAACACGTTCACGACCTCCTCCTTCACTCCAGCCTTCCTGTTGCAGAGATGTTCTCGCTCTCGACTCGTGACTCATCCCTTTGGTTGATGTTTGTTTTGCCGTTGGGTTGGGTGCTCCTCTGCGTGTGCCCCCCCCCCGTGCTCCCACGGGGGCTCCGCATACGTACTACCGTAGTTGTAGTTGTGCCGCCAGTTTCCGCATTTCAGCGCGCAGCGACGACCGTTGCTGTTCATGCAGAAGGATCTTTTATGTTATGATGGGAAGAGGTACGACATATAAAATGTCTTCCGGCAGCTATGTGCACTATTGCTAGACTAGCAATATCAGCCAACTGGCTGCCCACGAACAGCTACCACGCGTCTCAAGCTCTCTCTCAGCCCAAAATTTAAACTTCAAATTCAACCCGCAAAAAATCGGAACTGAAACTGTAAACGTCACCTTCCATTGGAACTTCAGGAAAAATAAACTTCCACCACCATGCATGCGCAAAAGCGTACCCGCCATACCCCGCACGCATCTTTCTTGCAGAAGACGCCATCAAGGCCAAGCAGGCAGAAAACGGTCAAATCCCGAAGAAAGGTTCCATTCGATCGCATATCTCCCACCCGTGGCTCGTGGCCGTGCACACACCAGGGGCCTCTCCTCCCACTGCAAGAATTTCGCGTTTAGGCAACACCGCGTTCACACGAACATCTAGTGTCGTAGAGGAATGCCCAACCCCGAGGCCCAGCAGGCATGGAGAAGAAGATGCTTGAACCGACTTGTACGAGCGATCGGGACGGGAGACAATGCGAGTGTGGCGTGTGCGTTAAAACAGGGTGGAAGGTATGTATGCACATGACGATACGGGGAGTATTGCTGTATGTACATGTAAAAGTGTTTGCGAGAGGGTTTCGTGTGTCAAAAAAAACGGGCATCACACACGTAGTGCTCTTGCAAGTTCTGCACACGAGATCCCCTGGCACGCCTACGGGGCTTCGAGCTATAAGTGCGCAGTCAGCAGAGAGCAAGCATGTGCTGCTATTCGCTATTCGCATGCGCAGCAATGGTACCCGTTCCGTCCCCGCCGTTCAGCAAGAATTCCTCCCGTACTTTGCCGACCCTTGTGGGAGTGCATTATATAGACTACAGTGTGTAGACTCCGGGGTGAACGGTGTGGGTGGGTGCTTCGCAGGATCAGGAAGCATGCTTCTATCTACCAGAGACAACGAACTGCTACAAAACTCTCAGCAACAAGAGTGTACACTGCCACAGGCGAGGTTCGTATCATCAGGGGGATTTTTCTGGTCGGAACCATTGTCCACGATCAAGACATGAAGATTCACATTCACAGCAAGTGACGCTGCATAGGGCGATGGATTAGGCTCGCCCTACACGGCGAAGTCAGCGAAGGCATCCTTCGGATCCATTTTATTTTCGTATACCTTTTTTTGGGTAAGTTAGCCTGTGACCACGGGAATCGACCCCGTCAAGTGTTGACTAGTACGGACAGAAGAACGTACCGGGCAGAGAGAACGGAACGGTTTTTAATGTTAAGACAACAACAACAACAACAACAACAACCTACAAGTAGTATACCATTCCAGTCATCGAATTCCGAACTTCTAGATTGGTGCTGCTGAAGTCCCGTTCGAATTCCGAGTTTCAATAGCCCCTACAGGCGGCTATGTGGTGGTATGCACGCGTGATGAAGTCTGGTAGACCCATGAAGAACTCACTTGTTATTTCTCTTGTAGAACAGCAGCAGCAGTGGCTGTTGCCTTGGGTATCGGTAGGAATGACACCAAGGGGCGCAGGATCCTCAGTACAAGCAGGGGCTACTGGACCCTATCCCCTATTTTATCCTTCCGCGGGGAGTTACATCTCTCCGCGCCTTCTAGAAGGAACCATTCTCTTCTATGTTCCGTCTACACATCTGAATCCTATAACAGCTATACCCGTGACAAGCATCTCCTGCAGTTTTTTTTGTGTCTTGTGGCTGCTGTGTTGGAAACTTCGTTGCTTCTGGGGAAAATATGTTGTATTGTTGAGACCTTGGCTCGAGAGACAGGGTAGCAGACTGGAGTGAGCAAGGGTGGGGCGACCATCCATGTCGCTCGACCAACGCACAAAAGCAGAACACAATACCGGAACACAATAACATCGAAACACAAGAGACTAAACAGGGGCTAACGTACTTCACAACGTACCATGAATCCTCTGGCTGATGCACTATCCACAAAGAACATTCCTGCTGAACGTTCCTCGCTGTTCTGATAATATGTGGCTACTCAGCGATCTGCAACGCCGACAGTCCCGCAATTCAAACTGCCTACGTTACTCTGTCGACACACACAGCAGCAACTATCACGAACATGCTGAAGACTATTTCCAAGTCGCCGACCGCATGCATATCCGCCACAACCCCTGTGACCCATATACGCACATGCTCGGAGTTGGCATGTTCCCACCATTGTGCCATTTTACGAGAAGCTCGTGGCAAGCTGGTGGGTGTGTCTTGCGGTGTCTTGCGGTGCGCGCTTGAGCATGCACCTGTCCGCAGCTTGAACGGCACGTCAAATCACACACACGCAAGAAAAACACGTTCACTCAATTTGTGGGACCATGGCGGGCGGTGGTGCACGGTCGTGAATCTGATGCAAGCTGCAGTATATTCCCGGCACATACCGTGTTTGATTGGAGCCTCTGACTGACAAAATTCGCCGTTCTCGACGGTCTTGCTGCCTTCACAGATATGTGCTAAACGAAAGAGACGACAGTGGTCTGCTACCCATACACAGGGCCACCATCAAGGCTCCCGCTTCGGTCGTCCATCTCCTTATTCAGGCGGGCGCCGATCTCGAGGCAACGTTCCAAGGTCTCGCTAGCATGCACATTGCATGCGGGAGAGGACTGGAAGGCATGGTGCACGTGTTGCTTGCGGGAGGAGCCAACAGGGACGCCCTGACCACCCAAGGGTTCACTCCCTTGCATTGCGCGAGCGGAAGGGGTGGGCTGGGAGCCGTGAAGGCTCTGCTGGCCGCTGGAGCGGACGTGAACATCCGGAGCGGCGGGTGGCAGCGGCGGACGCCGTTGCATGCTGCTGCGACTCTGGGCGACAGAGCCGTCACCGAGGAGCTTCTGCGCTGGGGTGCAGACGTTGACCTTCCGGACACCGAAGGAGTCACGAGTTTGCACATCGGTACGTTTGTGCCCAGGGTGGTTCTGTGTGCATCGTGGCTTGCATCCTATTCACCTTAATGTGTTGGGGCCTGACTGTGCAATACACCCACCCGTAGGCTAACTACATTGCCCATCATTTCGCTTGTCACAAGTTGTCTTTCTTCGACCCTTCCACGCGACCCTTCAACCCCAGCTGCCGCGGTGGACAACGTGGAAGTAGCCCGATGTCTCTTGGGAGCGGGAGCGTCTACGGAGGAGGTGCAGGCCGGCACGCTCAACAGGCCGTTACACTTGGCAGCTTTTCAAGGATCCTACGGCGTTCTCACGACCTTACTGGAGGTACGGGTGTTTGCGTTTGAGTGTCTCGTTTCGCTCACTTTGTCGTGGGAATGATTACGTACATTGTTCCATCCCCAGACAGCCAAACGGGTTTGTTCCTTTCCATGGACACTACTGAAGAACCAACCTACCGTTGTATGGCACATTGCATACTTTTCTTGACCTGGAACCCCTGGCCCCTTTCATCGGTTGGAGCAGGCCGGGGCTGACTTTACGGCGACCAACTCCCACGGGGAAACGCCGTTGCATCACGCCTGCTCGATGATGGACTTCGCGATCGTCTCCACCCTGCTCCACCGGGGCGCGGACGAAGCCGCACGAGACAACAATAACCACACCTGCGCTGAGGTGCTGGGAGATGGGCTGGACGAGGAGGCTGGGAGGTTACGCGGGGACCCGGCCATGCGCGAACGGATACTCATCGTGCTGGCCAAGGCTCCCGCGGAGAGGGCATGGCGTCGCCGGTCTTGGGTCGTGATGATGCGGGCGCGGGAAGCGGACTGGTCGGGAGATCTCGTCGGGGGGGGCGAGGAAGCAGGAAGGGCGATGGTGGAGATCTGTGGATCAACGGCGGCGGCTGGTGCAGTAGTAGCGAAGGCCGTTGGCGCTCGAGACGAAAAGCAACCTTGCCGGGGAAGGCATCGTAGCAACAACGAGGGCAGTAAGAGGATACAAGGGGTCGACGAGGAGGCCTTCCGATCATGCGTTTACTGGGTCGTGCGCGCGCAGGAGGAGGGGATTTTTCGCCTCGTGGTTTCATTCTTGTAAATATAGCGTGGAAGTAAAGGAAGGCGTGGGGGAGTTTGAGCCGTGGCATTGTGTGTTGTTGAGGGGATGCCGCCTACTTCGTATGTGTATCTGGTATGCGTCCTCGTCGATCTGCCCCCCTCCTGTGCCGAGACCCTCGTTCCACAATTGCGCACTTCTCTGAGTTTCACGCTCCGAACCACCGCTTGGATCCCGGATTCTCTTATTTGGTTGGTTCCATACAGCTCAAGTTGAACTGGCGTCTTTTCATTGGCCAGCAGGTTGACACGATACGTGCTGACTACAACAACCTCACACGCGCTGCCGCGTCCGTCTATTGTTGCTGATTTTCTTATCGGTTGCTGACCGTGATGGCCACCACTTCGAATACGTGGGAAGGTCAGACATTTTGGCTTAGTCCGATAGTGAAGATGTCAGGGGGATCTGTGCTGCACAGTACTGGAGCCTGGCTCCAAGCGGACGAAAGCGCTGTTGCACAAGCTGATGTTCAGGGTTGGAAAGAATCGTAAAGCCACAGCGGTTTTGGTAGCAGCTCAATATCTTTTGGGAGAGGGGGCAATGCACATCAACGGCTACGCCAGGGATGGGTTATTGTGGTCAGGGCTATCTTCTGTGTGGGTGTTGAAGGTGCGGGTGGTGCACGCACGAAGAATGGTAAATCAACAAGTCGAAGGCGTGAGGAGATGTTCCGACGAATTGTTCCGGCTGAAAGTGTTTTTCGTGCGCTCCGTTCAATCAACTAGCCAGCTTGTGACGACCATCGTAGCTGAAGCAGTCAATACTGCGGTCAATGAGGGATGTATCGTTACAACTACTGCTGTGGGGAGCATTTTTGTCAATCGACAGTGCTTGGTGTGTCGGTGTCGTCCGGCCAAGGCCGTTGCTTGCTGAGAGGTCAAGCCAGACGCTTGGCGTGACATCGTGTAGAACCGAACACCTCGTGCTGTTCCCCCCTGTTAATATTGTCAGGTCTAGGGTTAGGAATAGGACTAGGGTCAGGGCTAGGCTGTGCTGTTCCCCGCTGTTTCTATTGTTTAGGGTTAGGTTTAGGGTTAGGAATAGGATTAGGCTCAGGGTTTGGCATGAATAGCTTTCGTACGTGTCAAAGACTACGAGTCATTCCACACCACCTGCGGCGAACTCACCGGCTGGGCATTGAAACAGAGCGTTGAGAAATGGTTGACATGTACGGAGGACCACCTATCCGAGAACCTGACACCGGACTCCGAGGAACATCCGGCAGACATTGCAGGGATGCCACGAACGACGCTGATCGGCAACCGCAAGCTCAGATCTTTCGCACCTACGCCAAACAACGGATATCTCCTTTCAGACTGGCGTCCGCCACCGCAGTCACCGAATTCACACGGAAAATCAGCCTCTCCCTCCTTCCCCGGGATTCCACCGAGGCACCAAGCGCGGTCATGTCCACATCTCCTTTCCCCTACGCCATCCCCGTTGGTGCAGCATCCTCTTTGTCACTATCGCCAAAAATACCACCGTGTTGGAGGGCGTGCTCACGGGACGCGTTCGCCTCGTGCTGGTCGGCCCTTTCCTCCGCGCCCTCCGGGATAGAGACCGTCGTGTCCAATGTCCTGCCCCAGTCACTCTTGGGAATGTCTTCGTCCTCTAGCCTTCCCTCCCCCGGGCGCTTTGAGCGCGGTTCGAGACTGTGCCGCTGTTGGCGTGAGTTGCCGAATGGGCCGCCATCTTCCGCGTCCACCGCCTGGAAGCTCCTGCCGTTTCGGGCGGAGTCTGCTAAGGGCGGGACAGCCGCGTATTCCGAGGGATCGGTGGAGCTGTAGGTATCACTCCTGGAAGACGAAAGGGATAAACGGGGGAGGGGGCGTGTGCCCTGTAAGACGAGGTCTCGCCTGTTCGGAGGTTCACTACACCTCGTACCCGCGCATAAAGAACCAGAAAGCATTTAAGGATTCACAGACGATCATCGCAGTTACCACCATCAAGCGCAGATCGCGACTATGGACTGGTTCCACGCGCCTAAAGAACCAACACGTGTCTAAGGATTCACAGACGATCATCGCGGTCACCACCATCAAATGCAGATCGCGACTATGGACTGGTCGCATGGGTGCATCTCGGTGGATCTTGATTGAGTTTTTCTTCGTTTCCAAAGGGCCGTACCCGAGGCTGTCTTCCTCTAGCTGCTGCAGCTCTTCCTCCGCCTTCTCCAGAAGTTGGTTGAGTTGTTTTTCCATGGACTTTGACACGCTTTCCATCTGGCACAATGAATAGCGCGCAAGAGCAAAGTGAAGTAGGTGGGTAGGAAAGGATTGTATCAACTTCACTGCTGAGTGAGGACACAGTCTTTTTGTTCGTCAACCTTGACGTGCTTTGGTGCACGGGCATGACGCCGGCAAAATACCACATGCAATGGCCAGGCCGAATTTGTATCGGAATACGCCCGCAGGAATGGCTCTTGGTTTGGCGTGGACGTCAGCTTCTAACGGCATTGCGATATATGGATACAATTGGAATCGATATGAAAGCAACGGAATGAGATCTGCAAGGCGCAAGAAGACTGTGCCCGCCTGGTTCTTTCGACATCGTCAACGTAGTTCTTTTCCCCCGGGCAAGTCCAAGTATTTGCACCCACCCAATTTCCATCCAGGCCAAAGCACCTTCAAGCGAAGCACAACGAACCCCGACAAGTTTAAGCTTGTCTTCATGCCGCGAGGCGCGCATCCGAAGTATTACAACAAAACCGAAGTAAATTGTGGCACCTGACGCTCCATTCCAGGTGGTCGCAACCGTTTCCTCTCCTCCACTGTCCTCTCGAGCTCCGCAAGTGACAGGTGGTCCTCCCCCTCGGTATCGCCAAATATATCGTCTTCTTCAAGGCCATCGGTGCCGCCCTTGGGGGTGCTGCTGGCGGTGAGACCCAGGCCAGGGGCGGTGCGGCTGATGCTGACGCTCTTGGAGAGGTCGGTGTTGTTGGCCGGGAAGCGTTCGGAGGTCAGGGTTGCCGAGAGCTGTGCGCGGATGCTTTCGACCTGGCCGAAGAAGGTAACACCAGAAAGGTTTGATACTAACTCGGCGACGGCACATGATGTTGACTTCTTGCCAGATGCTACAAGTCCACGGCTGGATACATCATGCTTGGGTTTTTGTTGATCTTCTACGTGTGCAAGCGGGGCGCGATCTACACGCGATCTGGAAAGGCCTCGGTCACATGGTGCTAATGAGAAGTCTAGCTTCGTATTCTTGAAGAAGGTATGTGTGTCCCTTCAAGGAAGCCATCTGAGACCTATCGCGGCACATGAGAGTACAGTGCAGCCCGAGGGGGGTTGCTTTTCACTCCGGATCATACCCCGGTGTCCAATCGGTTTGGGACTGAGAACGCCCTTCTCGGCGGACAGAAGCCTCATCCCCACCATCACCATGATAGCCACCACCCCTGTTGAACCTAGCCTGCGCCTTGGCCAATACTTGGCACGATGTTGAGCAACATGTGGCAACGTAGTTTCCCCATGTTTCCTGTGCCCACCTGCTTTTCGGCGTGGTCATTGCCGTCTTCGCCATGATCTCCCCATTGTCCCAGTAAAGCTCCGTCGCCCCCCTTCCCCTTCTGGCCGACTTTGACGTGCCGTTTGGCAGCCAAATCGATCTCGGCCATAGACTGTCCCACCACCGAAGACTCCTGTGAAACGTGTAGGATTGCATACCGAATGTTGTTACCGTCGGTAGTCTCGTGATATCAACAGAGGCGAATGTGCAATGAACACCTCAGTAGTTAATACCACGAGTAATTCCTATGCGCTCGGAAAGAAAGGACCAACACAAGCACCAAACTGCGAAAGTTGTCAATATCGATACACGGCAGGTTTAGAATGTTTGTACACAGTGGCTAGAGCGTTGAACTCATTCGAGAAGCAAGAGGAACGACCAGCACGGGTTCAGGGACGCCCACGCGGGGAGACGTGGGCTAGGTACACACGTATATACTCTTTGTTGTTGACCCTGGCGTGACCCCGCCAACCAAGTATTCAAATCCGCATATAGTCTACTTCAGGAGCCCCAACAGACGCGACGAGAGTGAACCATACAATGCGATGAGGGTGATGCACTGAATGAACTGCCTTTCTCGCGTACCTTAGCTTGAATTGGCACATTCTGCTCGTAGAATTCGACCAGTCCGTCCACCTGATGAAACAAAAATGAAAATCGTCGTGATCATCAAGTATGACTCAGCGAGCAACATCAATAAGTAGCGTCAAGGTGCACGCGTATTCTATCCGATGTCGGCCAATATTCGGAAGTAGCAGACGAAGAATTGGAGACAGTAATATAAGCAAGTCAGACACGTTGTGAGGCACTGGACAGTCGAAAGGGCTCTCCCATCTGCAAATCATGCATCGTAGAACCGCAAAACATGGATATATTGAAAGAGTGTGTACGATGGTTTTGAGATCTCGCGCACTCTGGCACAGATTCCCTTGTCTGACCCAACCGTTGAACTTGTGATGTGTTTCGTAGCCCTGACGTTCACTTGGTTTCTAGTACTCGAAGAACCAACGTTTCTTTCTCCTCTGTACCTATCTGTAATTTAACAGCGTCCCGTCCAGTGGGCTAGGCGATCTCTTGTGTCGACTTCTCCGAATACATGGATGTTCTAAAGGTCTTAGACTATATCGTACGAAGAACTTTTAACCTTGAGCTTGCCCTCACCGCGTTGTCGGATAGCACATGCCCTTGCAGCACCTCCAACTTTAAAGAACCCCTGCCGTACAGGTCTTGGAGTTCGTTTGACAACGCCTCTAGAGGGACCATTGCACCTGACATCGATCGCAGAATCGTGGATTGTCTCATGGAAATGCGTGAACTGGTTTTGAGGGCAGCGGCGGGGGGTGCTACTACATTGTGCTTCACCCGATATGGCGGAGGGTAGTGACCCCTTCCAATCTTGCAGTTTCCATTGCGTGCTCACGGCCGTAAATCGACAAGTCTAACCTTGTTCCCAGGCCAACACCCCTAGAGAAATGTGCTTTTGGCTCAAGCCTTTACGAGAGTTGTGCACTCTTGCCGCGGCGAACTAAAGATTGTTTACGGAATCTTGCCTGTGCTTTTGTCACGCAAGACGATCCTTGCGTCGGCGACGTCTAACTTCTCGGCGATAGACTCGCACACAGTCTCGCACGTGGATTTCCGCGACACTTGGACGACGACGGCTTGTCTCGAGCCTTTCGCCGGGAATGTCTGAAGTGAGAGTCAACGCAAGAAGGACGGCACACGAGGTGCCAACAGAGTGAACCCAAGACGTTCCAGCGCAGATGAGAGAAGATGCAGCAGGAATCATAGACTTACTCCACCAACAACGCGGTCATGGCCATCCCCCTTTAGGAAAAATCAAGTATTGTCCGCTTTAACCCTGAACAGCCCCACATTGTGTAAATGGCTGGCAGCGGTCGTACATAGGACAAAGTGTCCGGCTTTTGCCATCGTTTCCTTGACATTGTTTTTTGTTATTTATCCGGGGTCGTTTTACCTACATATGTGCCTGACAAACTGAAGCAGACAACGTGCACCTGCCAGTACATGAGTCCTGGGCGAAAGACCGACCCAACTGATATCTTGTCTAGTGGATGCGCGGCTGAAACTTGAGGTGGATACGTCATTCCACGTGCGCCGTTGCATCATGTTTTGATATCCACACGGCAAAGATACTCACTCGTAGCGCCCCGAACACGTGACGTACCAGGCTGGGGATTGTGACCACAGTCAATGTGGTACTGGTACCCCACGTAAATGAGACCTTACAACGATGCATGGCAGTGGATCACCTCGAATAGTCACGCTAGAACTCACCAACTCCCAAATTGACGTGTTGCGCGATGGGTTGGGAGGGGGTGCCACAGGGTCCTCAGAGACAGCTTTCGAAACCTATGAAGAACCGTGGAGGGGCATTTCGTTGGATAAGAAAAGGAGTGCGCAGTGTATTCATGCGTGTGGCTGGGACTCGTTTTCTAACACGGCAGAAAAGTGGGTTGCCTCGCGTGCCAACTACATTGTGCTCACGCAGTCTGTAGGGCCTTGTCTTGGATGGCGACCCTACGGCGGGCAAACGCCGGAGCCGTTTTCACGCAAAGGTTGTATGGTGCATGATTACGTGCTCGCACGATGGTTATTGTGGTAGCAGTACTGTAGACAGGTGACATTCAATTTCACTTCGGCAGATTCCGTGCTTTTCAGCGAAAACTCAGGATGGAACGAGAAAAGCTTCCGAGAAGCCTTTTCCCCACAACTGTCGAGTAACCCAAGAGCTTCCAACCTCGGTCTGTCACATCCAAGGCATGCAAATCGTGCACCAAGAACCAATATGACTGCGCAAGCCGGAATTCAATGGCTCAAGCCTTCTTCATGTCGTCCACGCAAGCCACTACCCGTTTACAACCCGCACCCCCCCCACCTCAGGTCGAGATGATTCCTCTTTCACCACGACCACAGCCGCTGGGGTTTGGACAGTGCTTGCGCTGGTAGGGCTTGCCGCTGCTTGTGGGGCCTTGAGCTTGGCCAACTCCTGCAGTAAGGCTGAATTCTCTTTGGAAACGCGTTCCATATCCGCCGACAGCGAGGCCAGACGCAACTTCTCCTATGGGAACGGACCCGCAATAAATAAACGTCAATCAAGTTCGGGTCGAGGCTCAGGGTCATATTCCATCGCCGTCTTCGATACTACCATTTAGAATGAAGTACAAGATCCTCCGCTGATCTGCATTTCTAACCCCCGACATTCGTTTTTCGGTACCAATTGAGTCTCTGTTCCTTACCGAAGTGATCATTTGTTTCAGGCTGGGTCTGAATGTTAATCAATAGTGCGGAGGGTTGTTTTTCACATCGAATGGGCATAACAGGGTGGTGATATTGTATGGATAGCCGACACTGCAGCTTCTTCGGCGTGGGCTTCCCCTTTGCTCTGCCGAAGCCACGACTGTTTTTAAGCGCCACGGTAGAATAGGTATGCAACATCATGTGTTGTTCGCTTAGTTGCCTCGTCACTACTATCGGGTACGATCCGCCGCCACACGTCATACCCCAACACTATTTTCCAGGGCGCGCCTCGAATATGTACCGGTCATTCCAGCGCAACCATTGAAAGATGTGCGTGGCCCCACCTCACCTGTTGCTCCTTTCTCCTCGTCTCGTCCTCATCATCTTGAATCGCCCCAGCATTCGACCGTTTCGCATGCAGTTCCTCCATACCGTCTAGAGCCTTTGGGAAGAGTGCCGCGTTGTCGGGTGGAACGACCGAGCGAGCAACGAGTGAAAGTGCCTTCGTCGTGGCTTACCTGAAACGCGATTACAGTCTTGGCGCGGCAACATCGTTTGGACCACGCTACTCGTGCCCAACTCATCGTCTGAGAACTGAGGAGGGCTGTTTCCGAGGCGGACACTTCTCTTGCCTAGCCAAACCTAAGCCTCGATAATGCTGCATACCTCCCAGAACATATTTCCAGGTCAAATGATATCGCAAGCTGTCGTGGGCTTCGCCTTCAAGACACGATGTCATCCGCACATGCTGCACAACACGCACATATTTGGCCAGGGACGGCAGTCGAATATTCCAAAGGTCACCGCTGTGTTTGCTGTGGGTTTACGGCACCTGGCGTACTGAGGCCTTGAGGTCGCCGACGCTCTCTTCCATGAACTCCTCCAGCCGCCGAGGTAGCGACGCCTAGAACGAAACGAACGCACAAAGTGAACAGAGAGAGTTGACGCATGCTAGAAGGACGGAGAAGGACATCCCTAGTTACGAACAAAAGGGTGAATACGGAGGGATAGGCGGAATGCTTGTACACCATTGAAAGGAGAGGAATGACACCTGGCGGAATGGGAAAAAAAGTCGAGGGAACGGTTTAAAACAAGCATCGCCCAGAAAGACAGCAACAACGGAATGAAGAAAACGACAACGAACGGTGAAAAGTAGAGGACACACTACCTAGCGCTTCGAGGCAGTCTGAAGTGGGGGCTTGACTTCAGCTACACACTTTGCTTCTGAACAACAAAGTGAGTCTGCTCTCTGACCAAGCTCCTCCTAACTCGGAAGGACGGGTGATCTTTTCCTCTAACCTCACCCCTACCAAAGGTTGAGCCTGACAACTGAGCGGGGCAACCATAGGCCAGTTGTCACTTCTAGCACGTCAAAGAAACAGCGCGGAGGAGTCGTCCCAGCCACGTTGGATGCAGAAATCAAAGCAGGATGGTAGCGGGACAGCATACTCTTACGGGAGAACGTAATAATACCTCTATCCCTCTCATTCTCGTCTCTAGGGCTTCGGCCGACCCTAGATCCTTCTCCCGCCTGCCGCTCTCACTCCTCATGTTCCACTCCATTTGCTGTCGCATGAGGTCCACGAGGGTCGCCATTTGCTTCGCTGCGGCTGATTCTTGAGCAGCAACGGCGGCAGCTTTTCCGTTGTCCTCTTCTCCTGCCGTTCTTTTGTTCTCTGCCTCTACTGTGGACTTCATGAAACACAGCAACATAAACATAAGGTGACGGAGTCCTCAGTTTACGAACACCAACGAAAAAATGGCACATCGACGCTTTGCATGCTACCATAGTGGCAACGGGGGAATGTGATGACGCTCCCGAACGCCGACATTTTTGGTGGAACCCCTCGTGGTAGAGATAAAAGCATCTCTCGGTTGTTAGGGAGTCGTGATGGGTTAGCACGATTTTATGGTGGGGTTGTGCTGCGACACACGGGAAGTGTCGCAACATGGCGACATTGACGTATTTTCCTCCTCGGCATCGTTTGATACTGATACTGATGGCAGGCGAGACGAGGCCGCCTTCGATGAAAACTAGCAATCACAAATTCGTGGTTTTCCGGCTGCATTTTCCGGCTGCTATTTTCCGGCTGCATTTTCTACATTGAATCCTCTCGTTTTTTGTGGCGTTGGAATCAAGCCTATATAGTCTCTCTGCGGCCTTGTCACCCAATGTGTTCCTATTTTATTTAAGTAGGTCGGACAGGGCGTTCTCTCTTACCTCCGTGTCGATAAGTACCAGCTGGCTCTCTGGTGGGATGCTGCACTCTCTCAGAGTCTGGTCGTCACGAAGATGCACGCCTCTAACATTATCAAACACACGCGTGAACGACATGGTAACGGCATGTATGCAACTGGTTGAGGATTCTTGGAGGAGCCGTGCATGCTCTCGTCGCATGACAATCGTGTTTGCACATAGGTAGCTTTTGTTTTTCTTGGCCGACAAGTCAAAACGTGGTTCGCCATTCCCCGCTTCGCTTGCCATGCCCCCTCCTCTTGACAAGGGCTATCCAGGTTCAACGCTGTACAAGCACTCCCAGCATTTAGGGCCTTTCTGTACCTATACAGGAGGCGTTTTGATGGACCAGCAGCTGCGCAACCCGCCGCGGAGTTGATGTACCCCTTCAGCTGCGCAACCGTCGCTCCCCCTTGAACCATCATGTCCAGGCACTGGCCGGCACTAGTCTGGAGCGCATCGGCGTGGAAAGGTCGACTGTGGTAACGTATCATTGTGTAACCTTGGAAATGACCAATATCTCAGTGGCGGATTCGATAGTGATGGCGTCATATAAACATTGAGGTTTTGCCCAGCTTTCTATCGCGCTCAGTGTACGTACGTGTAGTTCGAGACATTCACTCAGTTGAACGCTCTACATTCCCCGTTGAGTTTTTCCACCAAACAATGCAGCTCTTCCTTTGGATGCTAGCGGCTACGACATCCCGCCGGTGGGCCAACGTCTGCCAATGTATTTCGAGGTGATGTCTGCGAAGGAAACAGAGCAACCATGGAACATATGTTTCATTTTTCACTCAAGATACCGCTCCTTAGCGGTGGTTTTCTAGCAAAATACGTATCGTGTTATGCCACGGCGTCATACCTGCACGAACAGCCTCAGCTGCGTTGGATACGCCGTTTTCTCCTCTTGATCGACTTTCGTGTCTGCAGAGCTACCGGCGTGCCGAGCATGCTTCCTGGCGATGTGTTGCTGTAAGAACTCGGCAGTGGTGAACATCTTCCCGCATGTGAGGCACGAGTGCAAGCCTCCGCCGTTGCCTCCCGGGACGTCTCGGCCGGATGGCGGTGCGGGTAAGGCAAGGAGTTGCTCATACCTGAACACCAGCATCGTTCACCGTCAACAGCATTCAGCAGTGGAATACGCCCATATCGCAGTCAGCTTCTCAATGCTCTACACCCGCGTCCTCTTTTCGCACGGCTTTGTCCGTAGACGCGAATATCGCTTTGGCACTCTGTTCGATGCGGGGAGGAAACCGGCTACTGAGCCGACTGACTCGTAATGCTTTCACTTGATCAACCGCCTCCGGAATTCTCGTCGAGTGGGTTTGAGTAAGGCCTCCATACAAACATTCCTTGGTACAATTGGTGCAGCTTCGTTGCGTAGAACCAGGTGTGAAACACAATAGAGCTCACCGGGCGATGGTGGCCCGCTTCTGGCGAATTTCTCGCTTGAGAGCACGGTCCTGTCCGGACACAACCACAGAGAGAGAAGGGGGCCCACACGCTCAAAGGTACTCACGAAGAAAGTTTCGGTTCACGTGCTCACAGAAGTTAGGACACAAAAGATGTTTTTTGTTTCGCTGTGTCGGATAGCGTCAGGAGCACAACTCTGGTTGGCCCCTGCCGGATGAGTCGAAACAGTAACCTATATTGCTCTTCAAGGGCAATCGGTCAGAACCAGCCAGCTTGCTAGTTCCGTTCGACCAATTAAGGCATAGAAATAGAAATTCCACACATTGTTACGCTTGAGTGCTTTTCGAGGCACAGCGAATGAAGTCGGCCCGCGTAGCTGACACAGAAACATTAAACTAAAACGTTGGTCATAGAGTTGCACTGCACCTCTTCTGATGCGGCGTGAAGCTCCGCCCTACCCCTATCCAAGGACCTTCGGACAGAGCTGTGCTTTAGCGCTAGAGCCTGTTCCGGTATTGCGGGTTGCACGACCGTTGTGAGCGTTCAAAAGCCTTGAAGAGTTCCTGCGTCGGAGGGCTATGACAAGGGATGCTGTTGGTGCCGGGGCTGGGTGCCGAAGGGGTCAAGTCCCTCCTACTTCGTCTCCCGACATGGAATCATAAGCCCGCGGCACGGCATTAGGTGGAGGGCGTGCTATGGAGCGGTGCCGACAATTGATTACGACAGGAACGAATGCTAACGTTGCTTCAACTATCCCGTGTTGGTCGTTACCCCGGCAAGCCTTTTTGGGCCTGTCGCGACAATAGGAACAACCATCCGAGCAGCGTAGGTAGGACGGGCCGTTTACAGCTAGGACTGGCCGTTTACCTCAAGACTCGTGGCGAGTGTGTCCTGGACACTGAGCAAATATTCGAGCAGCAGCTGGCTGAGCCGGAAGAGGTTGAGGAAGCACTGATCGGAGTATAGCCGCAGGTCATCCTCCGAAACGCTTGCGAAAGTGATATTCTCCAAATGGGCCTGTTGTTCCGCATTAGGTCAACGTATAACGGGGGTCAAAGGGATAACTGCAGCTGCACCCTTCGCCGACATTGCCAATGGCGAAGTGCATACCGAGTGACATACCGAATCAACATACCTCGTACGCCCGACGGCTATGAGTAAGTAGACTTGTGTCGCCGACCTTTAGAGACAAGGGCACGCGCACATGCGTACACGAACCCTCGAAACGTGCGTTAACGTCTTCCGTTGAAACCCAAGCTCGTGCCTTGTGTCGAGGTTTGCAATCCAAAGGTGGCACGGAATGCGGTTAACTACATATCAGGACCAATAGATTATCTAGCTGATGTTGTTGCCGCACTGGGACTCTCGTTGCCTGCGGGTGGTACGGGGTCTTGTTCGGTCGTAGAGGTCTGGGAAGGTGGAGAAGCTGGGGGAGTAAGCCACGTACGGCTCAAGCAGACGAGCCGCAGCAGCACACGCAGCAGCAAGAGAACAACAGCGCAACGATACCGGAGCGGACGCCTTCAAGAGCGACAAGGTCTTGCAGAACATGGACCACCGGGTTTCAAGCCATAGAGCCTCTCACCCCCACTGGGCGGATGCTTGGAGGGGCCCAACCCTAGATTTTACCCGGTATCTTGTTGCAAGTCTCCTCGACTGCAGGTACCCGGTCGTGGAAGAGACGCGCAACCAGATTCCTGGGCAAATCTACCACTGGGACTACCCCAAGCATGCGCCCAGCATGAAGATGAAGTGGCTTCATGGCTAGAACCGTGGTGGTTCATCTTCTTCAAGGCTGTGTCGCTCTTGAAGGTGTCCGGTGGTGGGGAAGTGCAACAGCATCCCAGAACAGATCTATGGTTGGGACTTACAGTCGGCGGAACGATGTACTGGATGCGTTTTCAAAACATTGCAAAGATCCTCGCGTATATCCAAGTACCAACCGACACTTGTAGGGTTACTGGTAGAGCTGTGCAAATCCGCTGTGATTGGCTGATCAAGCAGATATGCCGAGCTCGTTCTAATTCTGATTCCTTCAATACCTATGGCTGGAACGAAGGTTAGTGTTGGTAGTGGTATGTAGCACGTGCTAATCCTAACCACGAGTCATCGCACACGTCGCCAACGCAGCAAAACTATTTTTTCCTACTGCCCAAGCTCGCTAGAATGCTCGCGAAGTCTAGAGTATTATGTGTTTTTCAAACCATCACCCTCTGACGGATGTAAATGCCGCGTGTACTCCAATCACGCCATTGTACATATTGCGTGCCGAAAATTGAAAACCTAAAAAAACATCCAAAACAAAAAACAAAACAAGCCAACACATGTCATTTGTTAATCCTCTCTCGCATGAGACGCACGCCTGTTTGGCATCGTTTCTGCCTTTTTGCGCATGGAAAGTACGGTATCAAACAAGTAGAGCGCATGTGCACATTCTCGTTGTAACTGCTGGGTAGCGGTTGAGTTTGTCAATCAACAAAACTTGAATTGTCACGTGTTGGATGACACTAATGCACCATGTACGAGCCCGTGATCTACACAGCTTTTGCGCAAGGCAACATGGTTCCGCCCATGAAGCGTCCGCAAAACTGAAAATTAAAAACACGTGCCCAAAACAAAACCCAAACCCAACAACAAATAGTATTCTGTATATTTCGCCACAAACATGCACACCTCCCTCTACACGAAAATCACCATCATCATCGTGGCGTTAGGCGTTCATTGTAACGCCACGATGATGGTAATTTTCGTTTCAAGGTGCAGACTACTAAATTGTTGTTGGGAGATGTGTGTGTTGTATTGTGTTTCATGCTGGGTATCTTGTGGCTCATTTTCAGTTCTGGGGACGTAATATAGGCGGGACCATGTTGCCTTGCGGCATGACAAAGGCGGGTGATGATTGCCATCTTCGGACAGCCTGACGTCATCATCCGACGCACTATAGATACGTCGGTACCAGAGAAGAAACAAACCATCCTTGTCAACAAAGTCAGGACGATCATCATCAGAGACAGAGCTTCCCACTTCTGGCATACACTCGAGCTGTCATGCCGCAAGGCAACATTGGTGGCAAGCTGTGCACATCGCAGGCTATCGACGTACTTTCTGTGGTACATGGTGCATTTGTGTCGTCCGGCACGTGGCAATTCAAATTTCAAAGACGTGCTATTTGTGATTGCGACGCATCAAAGCGGTGCACGCTGCACTCACTCGCAGCTAACGCCGTTCCGCAGTACCGATATCGCCGGCACGAATCCTTCCACTTCGTGCACAATTTTTTTCTGTGCTACACTGCAGTCCCGGATACACCTCCATGATCGGAGCTCGTGCTACTTCGTGCTTGAACAACTAACTAACTGCCTCTTCCGTTCGCATTTTTCATCATGTTGCCCAATGAACAACGCACGTGTTTTCCTAAATCCCACATACATCGACATAGTTGACGTGCGAAATCACCCCCCCCTCTGTCACTTTCTTTGAACGCAGTCCATAATATGTAGTTCTCACCACTACTGCTGGGAAGACCTTGTTCAAGGCGCTTAGCAGGACCAGTTTGTCTACACGTACTCTACAGTAGCATCGATGCCGATGTTCGGAGAAGCTCGCACGGCGAAACCACCACGTAGTTTACTGTCCTTCGATCATCAACCTGCCCTCAGAGCTGCGGAACCGGTCACATGGCATGGGCCTGAGTCTCAACAAAATAGGAGTTTCGCACAGGATGCGAGGCTGTGTGTGCAAGGCATGTGCTTGTGCGAGCCGTCGAGGCGTGTTGATCGATCTGGTTCGTTCGGTGCTGCCAACCTCGACGTGATTTAATGGGGCTGAATATCTTCGCGAGGGTAAAATTTTATACCACCTGACCTGCAGTGTATCAACGTCCACGTCTTTGACCACGCTTGCTATGTCCACCCGGCCGATTGCGCGCATGTCCAGTTTGCCGGTTCTCTGCTGAAAGTAAAAGGATTTGCGCCTGAGGATTCCCTCAACAAGTCTCGCAGCGGAAGCATCGGGCCCCTGTGCAGAGAGATGTGTCAGCAGCAATAAAAATGAGAGTTGCGCGACTGAGCACTACATGGGAAATGCCGTTGGAACCGTTGCGCTACGAGGTAAGGTTGCTTCAATGGGTGGAGAGGGTAATATCATACCCACCATTTTTTTTTTTTTTTCCCTTCGCGGAAGGTTCCTCCGCACGACCGTTGAGGAAAGAGTTCGTCTGCTGTCAAGGGTTACTACATGAACCAGAGGAGACTCACGACAAAGCCTGCCCACCAAGATGATTAGCATCAGTCATACCTGGACGGAGGCGTGCATCCCAAGCAGCTGGTTCTATAATGGGGCGTTGAATCTTTTCTCTGATTGTCTACCCTCGGCAGCAACCCGTATCTGTATCTTTGACGACACGGAACAGCAGTCTATTCAAGTACCCACCGTGGGTGCAGTAGATGAATCCTCGCCAGGCCTGGACGACACAAATCTAGATTTGAGCCGTACTACCTCATCCATGGCGTGGTGCCTGTTGTGTGGTACCGTGTCTTGCACTTGTTGTTGTGTGGTGTGGAGCCGGGCACACGCGGTAGGGGGGCGACGTGTCGGGAAGATAGCTCATTGCCGGGGGGGGGTGCAGACTAAAAGTAGAACCCGTTCCCTCGAGAACCTTGGCACTCCACCAATCGGAATAGGACACTAGACACCAGCAAGACGGATCAAGGAGCACAAGCGCACGGCAGACAGAGGACAGAGGCCTGAGGGATAGCCGCCAGATCGTCAGCAGTGGCAGCCAAAGAAGAACGCGAGCGAGCACGGGGAAGAGCGTGCGTACATTTGCAACGACCCCATATCCTCAACTGGTCTCGGTATTCGGCTCCTATCAAGGATTGCTGTGCTCGCATCTCAGATTTTGAATTTCATACCATAGACGACTGCTGTACAATTCAGCAGGGCTGTTGTTTCCGACGCGCGAACGGGCTCGAGCTGTTCTCTCATCGGCGGAGAACTTGCTGCAGGAGAGCGAAGACCGACGAAACAAGTAGTTAAAACCAAGCCGCAGGTGATTGTTCTAATGTCAACAATGCGTGACAGCAGTATTGATGCATGCTGTGGAGCCTCTTGGCTAGCTCTGTGTTCATCGTGTCGTTTGTACGAATATCGATCAACAGCGTCGCCCATTTGGGGAGTTGTTTGGAATTGTGCTTTCCAAAACATGTACACACGATGGTGTGTAAGTGCGTCCAAACAGCGTGTATCATCGTGTCGTCGTGTGGGCATCATACCGTCGTGCGCAGAAGAGGACGGACTACATGTCGCGGGTGTTCGGCACCGCAGGGTAGGTGCTCCTACTGTCGTACTGTAGTCTAGTCATTGCTCAAGCATTTATTTCATAGTCCACGTATCAATCTGTCTGGCGGGCAGCCCTCACTGACATGTACACGTTTGCACTCCAATCTACAGCGCCTTCGAAGTTCCGACACTCTGGTTGGTAGCATGGACAGCTCCGCGGGGATGAATGGGCATGCGCATGGCAGTGAAGTCACCCCAGAAAGGTGCATACCCAAATAAGTTCTCGCACACCGGGGCGATTAAAAATGGTTTTCGGTGAGCGAGAGCAGTTGCAGTCTCACCGTTCTTGCGACAAAGATGTGGGTAAGCATCGCAGACGGTGTCGCAAAACAAACAACAGAAAAAGAACTCCGTTGTTCGCCCCCCCCCCCCCTTGTGACCTTTCTGTTCCTGTGCGTCCGAAACTCATAGATAGTCCATGCAGGAAGTAAAGGCGGGCTTCCAGTATATATGAAATGACACACACACAAAACTGGTGGTTCAGTCAGCCTTTATGTTCCTCCGCACGGGGCACTCTAGGAAGATAGTCCCGAACGTCCAGATTCTTGCGGTTTTGCTGCATGCACTTGTTCACGTTCACATCCACAACTAACTACGAACGGCGTTGTTGGTGTAGGGTTTGTCATGATCACCGTGAACAGAATTCTTCCCCCACCCTATCCCTTCCTCGCCTTCTTTTGTCTGAAAGGGACTCGTCGGGCAACCTGGCGCCCAAGCGTGCCCGTCGAAGGCTTGAAACCGAGGGTAGTGACGACTCCGATCACACGTACGTACGTGAGAGAAAATACGTGTTGTTCCAAAACACCAAACCTTGGGGGCTTGGGTAGGTTGTGAGTAGGTGAGTAGGAGGGTAAGAAAACGAGGGAGAAAGAGGGAGAGCGAGGAAGGGAGGGGAGGGAGGGCTCGTTTTCGACGTGTGCCTTACGCGAAGAAGAGCCTTCCCCCGTCGCGTTGACGTGTTGTGAACAACTTTTCCTGTGATGATCGTGTGCAGTACGGAGCGGATCCGACCACTGTGAGCAGGTTAGCTGCTCCGTTTCAGTCTGATTCCTTCATTGTTTCTTCCTTGCTCTCTCCTTTGCTCGCTATCGCTCACTCCTAGACAACACTAACCAAGAGGGAACGCCGCTGCCATCAACTATTTATTGTTCCGCTACTTGCCAAATCGGAATACCGGTGAAATTGGGCAGGTCGGTGTATTTCTAATAGATATACCCGTCCATGTGAAATCTTAGTCCAAGGCGCAACACTCCCATGATCCATCCGATTGTGAGCATCAGCCTCGCCGCTTATTTTGTCTTCCACCGGGACAACTTGGCACTATGAAGAGTGCTGTACTTCTTCATGCCCGTACCTCTTGGGCACTTTGCTCTTGCCAATAACCATATCCACAACCAGACGGGGCTACACCTGGGGCGCTGGTGGCCATGGCACTTGGCACGAAGGTACCGGTGACAGGCAGCGAGACAGCAAGCCAAGCAAGGCCCAGCTTGTATCTGAAAGCGTCATCGAGGTAGGCACGCACGTCCACTTCTCGACTCTAACATCGATCGAAGCTGTTCACACCAAGGCTGCTTTGGCACATACAGTATGGGAGCAATTTTGTGGCATCAATAAGAGCAAGCACCGAGGATCGAGCTTAAGACCGCAGATCATTGTAGACCCGAGAGCTTTGAACCTTGGTTTCGTTCTGGTATCAACAAAAAGTTCAGGCGGAACGTTACTGATAGTCTGGCCACCTCTCTCATGGACCAGCCAGTGTAAGGGACTATATCAGCAAGGTCGAATCTATCAAGAACCGCGTCGATTGACGGTCAGGCCTGGTGCTGCTTGTGGACCAATCCAGGCTGCAGCGGGGAAGGGCGAAACCTAATCGTCTTCTACGACGGTACAAATATGATACTCCAGTGCCGTGAACAGCGCGAATAAACAGTGTCTAACACACAGCCGTTTTCAGACGTTTTGCTGTCAACAGGGTTTTCACAGCGTACGAGAGCACTTCCATTTCCGCGTGACAATGCTCTCGGCGGGTCCAACACTGAATGTCGAACATCACCCGCCACCCCCCAGCCAATAGCCACCCTCGCCTCCCTCACGTCCATTGCTTATGCTACCATATGCGTGTTTTCTTGGGTGATACATGTTCATCCGTCATATTCTTCAAGCTTCTCCATGTCTGCACCCTCATCCAAGTGGCGCTGAACAACAACCCTTCCGAGGAGGGCATCGACGTCAAGCCGCCCAACGCGCCGGCATCCCCTGAACCGTCCCCCCATACCCCGGGTGACTCCAACCATGAGATGAGGGGAGAGTGACGCTGCATATGAATGAAGCGGACAGATGGTATACTGTCGGTCGTGAATGAAAAAACGATGCTCTACAAATCGAAATCATGTGGAATGAATGGGGTGTATTGTTCGAGCATCACACAACGTGATCAGGTGGTTTGCCGAGTAGTCAATCAGGATGGTTCCAGCTACAATCAGTTTGGTTGATGTGGGCCTGGTCATTAGGGTTTAGTTTCTGGAAAAGCGATTTGTTTCTACTACTGTAGAGTAGGTTCTGGAAGGTTGCCAAAGAGTCACTCCATTATTGACCCGAGACATGAGCAATCAAACTTGTACATATGCATGATGCGCTTGTGTGTCATTGAATATCTAGCACCGTCTGAAGGGCGCGCCCGAAACCCGATTTTTCCTTGTGGCGAGGGCAATCTTTTCGTCAAATGTTCACGGCACAGATCCTTTGGCCGTGATCCACTTCGAGCGAAAAGCCTCCGTGTCGAAAAGCCTCCGTGTGTTAAGTCTACGGTCTTGTGCATGTCCGTTCGTGGGTTATCATTGACAGGAGGAAGATGTGACACTGTAAAATAGGTGGATGCACAGCTGTCGAAAAAGATTGGTATATTGACTCATCCTGGATGGTCGTGAATAGTGGCAGCTCCATACGAACGACACGGTCCGAGTTCAAATAGACGCGAGCGTTGCAACAGCGTGAGAGGTGTTTCCATCATTTAGTTTTTGTCTCCAGTGTAGGGTGTGTATAGCATATGGTCTTGGCATGCTTTATCCTAACAGCTGACACAGTTTGATGATCGGACATAAAAGTTTTCTGTGGGAGAGGTGACAGTCATAAGGTGCGTAGGGCGCCGCCAATCGTGCGTCAATGAAATATCATAGTCCTCGGCTGAGTTGTTCCATTGCACGCACACTTTGTTGACGCACCCATCCCAAAGGTTCCGAGACACTGTCGCGATGGTGCAAGCCATTCCCGAACATCCATCGCCAAGATTCCGCTAGCATTGCATGTGTACAGTCAAATCATGCTGCACCTCACGTAACTTATTAGTTGCCGAAGTCCTTGGACCCGATCTACACGCACCAGAAGCAAGGACAACAGCAGCAAGCAAGCATGCTCAGCGGATATCGCCCGGACGGCAAGAAGCGGAGCCTCACCGACAACCCGTTTGGACGAGACCGTGAATTCATGACCCCCTGTCAACGAAAGGTCTATCGGGCTCAAGTCCACGCCGCCACCACTTGCTCACCTGGTTAACACGAATCTCCCATTTTCTTCTCAATATTGCCTTGTCCTCTACGAGGCGGCGTGGTAACCACGGGAGGCGCTTTGACCTTTTCCCGCTTACGGAGCCGAAAAGCCGCAGGTGAACATACTGTTCTCCCGCAATAACACTGCTGTGTCTGTCGCCGATCGACAAGCGGGGTTTGGGAGCACCTACGCATGCAACAGAACACCGAACCCCGCGTTCCGCATGGACAATGTAAACACCTTCCTGCAAAAGCTGTTCAGCGGGGCGATCACAACGAATGACCCCAACTCACTTGATAAGGTACAGTTTTCTGGGTTACGCTTGCAAATCCGATAACCCCGATTCCCCGCCCCCTTACCAACGAACCAGTAGTTTAAGTGGGAACGCCTCGCTCAACCTCTTCCTGTACCTTCTACCCTTCCAACACACTCTTGTCTAGCAAAAAATACGCCTTTTCATACACTAGGCTCCGCGTCGCACACCGGAGAGAAGCACCCACCCCCCCATGCTCTCCGTCACTTCCAAGTCGAAGCTTTCCGCGTAGGCTGAGAGCACCGCACCTGCCTGCTCTTGTAGAACCCCCGAGAGCGCCAGCTTGCCACCTGCCCCCAAAGATCGCCACAACACCAGACGCCCCAGTAGGAGCACGAGTCGAGTGACATGTATTCCTTCAGTAGTGGCACTCAAACGAAGGGACGCTACACACGGGTTTACATAGTGGGGCAGGCGGTTGCTCTCGCAAGCGTTGGGCAAAGATACGGCAACCTTCGAAAGGCGATCGGCTCGTTTGAGTGAGAAACATGCTCGCAGTATTCAGAGGGTACAGCAGTGAGTGAGGTCAGCAGCAGCGCCCAACCACAGTAGCAAAAACATTCTTTGACTTCCCCCGCAGGAATCGCATCGTCGCCGTCATCAAACGACGCGCCCGGGCAACCCATCCGTACTGCGGTGTGGGTGGGATCTCTCCAGAACGTCCATAAAATTCGACGTATTTCGCAAGCATCACATGCTAACCTGGACGCGTCAAATACGCAAACACGGGCTGGAGTCTGATGATGGGGCCTGCAAGGATGTTGGCGACCGTGACGTCAAACGCTCCAAGCTCTTCGGTAGAAATTGGGAACCCGTCCGCCACCGACGGTGGCTCCATCGCGTCTACAATCCAGACATACGGTTGAGACGAAGAAACATAGAATAGCAGTTAGGCACAAAGCGATTTCCGACAAATCGAACAAACGCGGGGGATTGCCACCAAAAGGATGACAAAGTCGTGCATGGCCAGATACGTAGACCGTTTCGTTCCGAGAGCGCCTCCAGACGCCCAACTGCAACGAAAAAACTTCCACGTGCCGTGGACGAAACTCACATGTCCTGCAAAGGTATAGTCTGTACGCTACTGCCGACTCAACCACCATAGGGGTCACGCGTCTTTGTACTCTTACCTTCGGATGGCTCTTCCGTCGCTTTCTCCGACACGGCAAGCTTCGTCAGGACAAGGTCCAATCCATCACCGGTACCGACCTACCCATGCGGAGCAGGAGGACGGAGTCATCATCATCAAGCAGGCTCAGTCAACGATGCACGTAGAAATGCACCCCGCGTCCGGCGCGCTGGTGATCTGATGAGTGGTGGCAAGCAATACTGTCTGTCTTCGAGATGTGAATGCTCAGGGAGAAGTGTGGTCGTCATGCACACGGTCCCCGCAAGGAAGACAAGATACGGTAGACACAGCTCGGTGGCGAATCCTCCATCTCAAAGCTTCAGCCAGCAGAGCTTGGCCGACCACTTGCAAGTCAACACTACTCGATCACGAGCATCGCCGTGATCGTTCAACGACCGACATATCCCACCCGGCAAGACTTGGGCTTCGAAATGGGTGCCACGTCTTCCCCGTAAACCGTTCGCACACAGCACGGCCGGAGAGCGCTACTTTTATGGCACCCCATCTCCATGCGCGTGTGAGATTGGCTTGAGCGCCCGGGGAGACACCTTGCGTACGTGTCACTTTGCGCGAAGGCCAAGATCGGCTACTACAAAACAGAGAGTATTGTATTTGTACCACTCCGTGAGAACAAACCGCTTGCAAGAGCGCGGCAAGCTTGACCGCCTTCAAGAAGGGCGGCAATCATGCCCAACCACTACATATTTAAACGCTAACGGTTCTCACCTCTTGGGGATAGTACGTGTCCATTTTGAGGCCGTTGTTGGCAGCATTTACCGCAGCACTGGCGATGGCACTCAGGTCGAGCTCTACGCCAACGGCCTGGGCAGTCGTACATGAAACAGGGAAAACGAGAAGGAGAGGGTAAATTGGAGGAGATGAAGGTTATGGGTCGTGGATGTCACACGGTTTACTGACTACGGTCGAGGCACATTCATTCGTCCTTTAGTGGGGGCGTGCGCCGTAGGGCTCGACAACGAGGGCAAACATTGTAAATATCAGCGCCCGACACCGTCCCTTGTTGCTCTGCCTAAGGAAAGCGGCCGTGATAGCGCCCCGCCTGACTGCCGACAGCGGCTCCTCACGCAGTGAACCACAGGAGAATAACGAAGAAAATAGGTGGGTAGGAGCAGATTGGAGAGAACCCAAGCTCAGTGCAAGTCATTGCAGCACGGAACACAGTGGTCGACCAGGATCCAAAGCACATTCAACACAAGTCCAAAAGAACGGGTTCGAGGAACGGAGGCTTTAGTATCGAACCTCTACGGCGCCAAAGGAGAGCGCCGCCAGGCCCAATATTCCGCTGCCGCTACCGTAGTCCAACACCCGCTGCCCGGCAACGTTGTCTTCCAGCCACGTGCAGCACCTGGTGACAATGGTGAGAGCATACAGCCGTACAGCAACAGCAGACGCAGTCCGCTTCCTCGCTCGCTACACCTTCGTACAAACACAGTAGTGCAGCGGCAAGCGTTTGTCTGCTATGGTTGGTAGCTTGCTCGACTGCGCCTCCGGTCTAGCTGTGTGACGTACGTGCGGTCTAGCTGTGCTTTTTGTCGCGGCTTGGGTTTGAGTGAGGCACGCATGGGATGTCGCTAGCTCTCACTCGAAACGCCGAGTTCCTCTGGAATTCGGATGGGTACACGCGTGGAATGACCACGCGCGCGCCAGAGCCCAGGCGAGCCTTTGTCACATCTTCTAGGAAATTCCTGAATTTCTCTTGCACGCACGTCCTGTTGCTATGGTTTAGCAATCGCTTGTGCCAGAGACGCCGGTATACACGCACATGGAGGTTGTCGGATGCTCGCCTGTCCCGAAGGACCTCCCTCCCTCTAGCTCTAGCTCCACCTGTCAGCAAACGAGGGCGCAGAGAATCACGTCAACTCAAAAGAGAGAAAAAACCCACAAACAGCGAAAGCAGCGAAACACGAACCAAGCCCACGGGCATACAGACGCACACATGTGCCGGTGCGGCTGGGCTGGTTCCCCCTCGCCGCTCTTCAGGCCTACCAGGTACGATTTTCGAGCCGCTTTTTCCGTGAAAAGAGTATGAGGACCGATCGGGCGAATAGTGTTAAAAAAGATTGGTGGATTTTTTCTTACAATCGTTGAAACCATCATCACCGGATTATGAAACGTGTTTTGTTAACCAATTGACGATTTCTTTCTAGGTCATACAAGGGTTGAAAATAAAAAATACGATGGATCTGACCACTACAACAAATAGGGAAAGAAAAATGTTCCTCTGAAGTAGTTCCCAGCGAATAAAACAACACCAAAATAACCAGTCGTTGCTGGACGCGAGTGCGAAACGGCAAAAAATAATAATCCCGCCCTATCGCAGAACAACTCCAGCACGACGCACAGCAGTAGAAACGTGGTAGAGGCTATGACTGACCGTTGTAGCGCATACTGACTGGGGAGCACACAGTGCTGCTGTTTCTGCCAAACGATTTCAATCGAATTGCCCGCCACTGCGGGCGTACAGGTCCCTGTGCATTTCTACGCACGCCGCCCTCGGTACCGGTCTAAGGGTTTCCTTTTGCTATGCACGGAAACAGAACGTCCATTCCGCATGACATCGCAAACTGCGACAGGAACAAGCAATGGTGAGGTTCAACTCTTCAACACGGGCAAGTGAATCACAAACACACCTGGCCAGGTTTGAGCTCGGAGGGGGGAAGAGGGGTATGCCACGGAAATCGAATGCGTAACCGTCCGACCTCGATGGGGTCCCAGCCTTCCTGCGACGACATAAGCGGCATGCGAAACGTCACATGAAACGGTACATGAAACGGCACGTGAAACGGCACGTGAAACGGCACGTGCAAGCAACGGCTGGTTGTCGGGACTACACGGCAAGAACAATTCAAACGCAAGCGTAAGCCCTCTTTCTACAGCCCACAGCTATGCCGAGGCCCGCCCCGGTACTTTTCTCGAAGACCACTTTTTTTGGCAACATCATGCCGCGACATACATCGTAAAAACAAGTTAAGATGATGAAGGGCTTGACTACCGCATATCTCTGACTCTGTTGACTCCCAGCCGGGTATGCACATGATCGGTTAACCTACTACCGGTAGGTGGGACCCGGCAAAACAGAAACCCTACAGAGGTATTCCGGAGAGGAAAGTCACTGCTCAACTAAGTGAGGAACTCGCGTTCGATTCAGGATGGTCTTAAAAAAATGACTTCGCACAAGGCGTACGGTGTCAAGCTGGTATCAACAGCACAAGTCTCACGGGCAGCCAGGGGCAGAACGACAGACAGACAAAAGGATAGGAAACAGAGAGAGGGAGGGAGGGAGGGAGGGAAGGAGGGAGGGAGAGGGAGAGAGAAGCAACAAGGCCACTCACCTGAACGGTCTTAACCCAATCCTTGTCCACGACATCATCCACTTTGAAAGACAGCGGAGAGGCCAGCTCCAGCACCTTTGCAGTACAGTATGCAAACGAGACAATCGTTCAGCAACCGATGTAGACCGTGTGCAGGCGTAGCGTCCCACGTAGACGACGATGGATCAAGAAGGCACGCCCAATGCACGCCAAAGCGGTGATGATCACGACGACTCTCGGGAACAGTGGGGATCGAACGGGTTACGGAGAGCGGCGGATCTCACATGCAACTGCTTGAAAGTGTCGCTTCCCCATCACATGTACCAGTTGCCACATCCCCTTTTCCCGTCTCCTTGTTTTGTGAGAGACGAACGTGAGAGTATGGGCCAATCGCAGCGTTGTTCGTTTCGGCACAAGTCACTCCTGGCTCACCTCTTCGACAGTAGCCACGACTCCGGCTAAGTCCCATTCTCTCGGGAAGAGCGCCACGACCCGACTGCTGCCCCCCCACATGTCTTTCCTCCCGGAGACTGACGGTAAGGGGACGCTCGGGTCGAATGCCTGGTAGTTAACGACGAGCACACGGTTGTCTATGATTGCACGCAGACGCAGGCACGGCGCAAAATAACACGTACACACTGGTGCTGGCGAAAAGTGCGCGCCAGCCGGTCGGTCAAGGCGAGACGTGAAACGGCAGTAGAACCAGTTCTAACCAGTTCACCAGTGGTATGCACATGGTATGTATTCTCCGCACCTGTACCCCACATCACGTAGTATACTGTACAGTGCCTTGTGGGTGGGTCGGTTGATCGTGGACATGTGCCGCTGTGTGTACCAAACTGATTCACACCAAGAACCCATTAATTTGGGGAACAACAACTCTACTTTAGAAAACTGCTACTGCTGTAGCCTACCTGTTGTCCTCGTGACGAAACAAGCTGATATTTAACAGTGTACAGCAGTGAGACGAAGAGGAGCACAAGTTCACGACCCAATCTAAAAAAAGTTCCGACATCGCCCCTTGCGCGATGTTTATTGTTCATGACACGTGGTACTATACACGGTCTGTTGTTGGTGCCTCCCTTTGCAGCGACACATCCTGCGGACGAGGAAAAAGGGCGTGGCATGTGGTGGACGCCATTCACCTTCGAGTTGGTGTGCTCGTGCAATAGCGGGACTTCGGCCCCCGTGCCCAGGTCCGCATCGTCAACAGACACCGACATCGCACCCACGTCCATCAGGAGCTCGCTCAGAAACCACGGATCAAGCTCGCTCCCCTTCGCATCCCTGTCAGCAAAGGTGCCACCGTCGGTGCATGCGCAACTTGCTTCAGAAGGGATCGGCGGTTCCGCAGAATGGAGGTCAGTGTGGGGTGCCGGCTCACTAGTGCCGGTGCTTCATTTCTTTGAGTAGTGCCGGCGGTGTCCGGTATGCAGCTGTGCCGTCAAATCTCTGGGCACTTACCGGCACACAGACAGCCCCCACTTTACAGCCTTCAACAGCGACACGTATAGTCCTGCTCTCGAGAGTCGTACACACCCGTACAAGACGGCGCGATGCAGGGGATGGCATACTTCTCAAACCGTGGTGGAAGAGTACGCATGCCGAATTGTATAACATCACCAGAGTATGCACATGTAGGATTTCCACTTTTTTACTCTTCGCAGTCGTTTTTCTCCGCTGGGACGGCGTTTTTTCTCGCACTTTCTTCTGCATGGCACGCAGAGGACCCGTCGGTACATTACCCGTTACGTGTGGGGCTTGCGAGACACCGGTGGTGCGCGTTAGGGCCGCCTAAAGTCGCTGGGACTGGCTCTTTTTTCAGGGGTTGGGAATCCGAACCATAAAAGCCTCATCGAACGGCACAAAAACTGAAAACAGAACTTTTCTTTTACCCCGTGCCATGCGCCACGCGCCACGCGCCCACACGCCCACACACCTGCTGATGTGATTGTTGTGCACACAATCACCACACGGCAACTGGCGCATGCGTACCAACGGCGGGGATCGAGACTCTTGATGCTCATGGGAACACACCACACGGCACAGAAGTCCTCTTGCACAACTCTGGCAGGGGAAAATTTGTACATTTCAATTCAGAAAAATCGAGAAAGTCAAATAGAGAAGTTTGGTACGGTAGCAGTCTACATCTATCTGACTGCTGTTCTGGGGCACGTTGAGCGTCTCTTTGATCCGTTGTTGTTGGTGTATGCGTGAAAAAGTCTCACAGACCATGGGAAACACGATCACACAAAAAGAGAAAGTGACCAAACGCAGCGAATCACAGCAGTAGGACCTGCAGCAAACCGCTAGCCAAAACCATTCACTCGCGCACAAGGGAAGTCACGGCGGGAGAAAACAAAATACCCCGCACATATGATGCAAATTCCAGGCAAATTTTTACTACATATGCATGTTGCACGCAAGCCGGCACTACCGAACGTTATGACGACCAACCATGCCACCGCGATGGCACTGATTGGCCATGTCCTCTTGCGTCGCCCCCGGGAGGCAAATCACCTACCTCCCGCAAGGGAACCTTGTACCACGTGTCATAGCCCGGTGACCAGCTCCACACATATGATCTTGTATCGTAGGCCGCATAAAATGCCACACCCCCTACATCGATTTTCACAGCTCCATTACTCCACGACGAAGAGGGATGTACAACTCAAACGATACGTTTTCGGAAGCTCTCGACGAGACGATTCCTACGCGGCTTTTTTCGGAACCGCCACTCAGGCTTCGAAAGTCAGAAGAAGGGGGTGTGGTATCTTATGTCGCCCACGGTATGCGCGTTGCCCGCACCTACACTGCTCATCCATACAGCAGTGCGTTGAATCCAGGGTGGTATGGATAAGGTAGCCCCCCCCCCCTTGTTGCACGCCACAAGCTCTTGAAAAATATATTCCCGCCTACAGGATATAGTCTACTGCTGTAGCGCCACACACATTGTGAAGACATCCGCGACCTGCACCGAACATGCATCGATCCTAGAACATAGCAGTCGATTGTTCAACATTTTACCACTCTTGAACATACGACACCAACCTGCAAGCGATCTCCAGCGACTGCACCGCACCCCCCTCCTCCCACCAAAGCTCATCCACCGCCGACTGCTGCCCGGCTGCATTTACGTCGGCATCAGCAGTAGCAAGGGATGGCAACGGGCGAGGTATTGCCGTTGTGGGCGACGGGCGACGTCTGTTCATCGCACAGCTCCTGCTGCTACTCCTGCTGGGAAGTTGGTGGGCATGGTTGACGAATGGTGTCGAGGGAAGGATGAGGCTCGATACAAGGAATGCTTGCCAACTGGATGCTTGGCTCCACACAGTGATCATCGCACGTGTGTAGCACTACTCGGCAATGCAGCGATTCCACCCAGCCAGCGCTTACACCTCGCTCCGGTTCCGTGTGTAATATGTTACCATTCGGGGCAATCTTCGAATATTGGGAGATCCTACCGCCTCTCCGCTCTCTTCCTTCATCATCTCTCGCTCGCTCGCAGTGATTATCCGCTCGAAAGCAAGTTTCCACTTCCTCCCGACGGATGCCTCTCCACCATGATGATGGCCACCGAGGTAAGAGACCACCCCCGGCTAAAAAAGTACCTGACACAGCTTGCACGAATTCCGAGTTACGTCACGTTTCAGATTTAGAGCGTCTGTTGGCAACGATCAGACCAACTGACCCCTACTATGTCATCAGAGGCACTTGGCGTACCACCTCGCTTTTGCCGCGTGTTGGCTTGCCCAAGTTAACACGGCACCAAAGGCCTGTTTTCGTCGAGAGCTCGATCCAGCAACCGCATTTGCTGCCAGCGAGACCAAGGGAAGGCAGGAGTGAGGAGTCAGCAGTTGTTGTAGAAATCGGTGCACCCTGAGTATTATTTTCATCTTGCGGTATCACTTCTTCGGGATGCCTACGCGCGTGCTCTCCGGGTTTCGAAATGGCGTTATCAAGGTACGAAATCAACTTACAGACGCCACCTGTTGTCGCCAAGAGGTATCTGACTGTATACAACACAAGCTCTGCGAAAATGATGGACGCCAGGGGTTGCGTTGTACGCATGGTCAAACAACAAATCTTACATCAGAGTGTCGGGCTTCTCCAACTGCAACTCCGTGGAATCGCAAGTAAATGATCGTCTCGTCAATCGGCGTATATTTTCATACCCGTCGAAGGAGCTTATGGACGTCAACAGCAAATACGTGATCGGAGACAAGGAGATTGGGAGCGGGCACTATGGAGTCGTACGAACCTGTACTAGCCGAGGTACAGCGAGAGACTAGCGAAGAGAAGGATCGAAGCTCTATTGTGGGAGGCTGCCGATAACAGCACCCAACAGACCATGCCAAATACTACAATCAAGTTGAAGAAGTACATGACACGTAGTCGTGCTGGTTTTGTAGCCAAGAAGAGTCTGCTGTATGCAGGACTTGTGCTGGAGCTTGCCTCTGCCACAGTTGTAACTCGAAGATCATATGAACAACACTGGGTTGAAGAAAGTTCGAAGCACGAATCGCCGATTTCTGGCCGACAACCTGAAGCAGGTTCCTCGTATAGTTACCGTTAATCGCGGAACTAGCAA